TTAACGATACAACGATAAATCACCCCCCCCCTCTCGTACCTTTATCTTCSCCCCCCCGCGCAAACGATGGATCCTTCCCCCCCCTAACAAGTCCATCACTCAACTCTTGTAGATTCGAAATGCCTGGATTGCCCCCCCTCCAAGAACAAAACCAGTTACCCCCCCTGCCTAGCATTGACCAATTAACAGTACGCACCATGTGGACAACTATACCCCCCCTCGTGGTGACAAGAGGTTGTCCCCCCCCCTCACCAGCTTCTTCCTGGCCCCCCCATGAGTAAGAAAAGACTGCACCCCCCCCGGCTGCAATGGAGGTCACCCCCCCCCGCACGCTACCAGGATGACAGCCCCCCCGACGGATGATGTCATAACACCCCCCCCGCATGCGTGGTAGATCACCTCCCCCCCGGCAAAGGCCACACATAATACCCCCCCAACAAAAACACGATGAGTTTCCCCCCCCTAAAGTGTGCTTCAAGGGACCCCCCCTGACAGCTTAAATGATTTCTCCCCCCCAGGCTATTACTTCGAGAAAGCAGCTTGTTTTTTGCATGTTCACATTGCCCCCCCAGGAACAGCAAAGCAAACGACCCCCCCCGAAGTTGCACGGAAGAAAGCCCCCCCGCCCGAAAGCTTTGCTGGTGCCCCCCCACAATAGTCTCCGTCACGGTCCCCCCCGCAATCTCGAAAGGACATCGCCCCCCCGCATTGAAGCGAGACGGACGCCCCCCCAGCAATCATAGAAACCTTTTCCCCCCCACAGACAATTATTCATCATTCCCCCCCCAACGTCTGTCTCCACTCGACCCCCCCGCACGGTTACCTTTCAAGATGGCGCAAGGAACTGCGAAGGTATTTTTCCCCCCCCTCTTAGACTTACCAGTAAGCCCCCCCTGAGCGTTTGTCTGGTCCATCCCCCCCAGGTTTCAAATAAGAGAAAAGAATAGCCTTGTACAAGTATGTAACTACCCCCCCTGACAGCCCTTTCAAATGTTCCCCCCCCTCAAGTTGCTTCAACAATTCCCCCCCTCTTTGTTCAAACGATGACACCCCCCCTGTAGCGTCGGGCGTCGTTTCCCCCCCATTTCTTTCGTTAAAATATCCCCCCCCTTCAATCATAAAATCTTCATCCCCCCCGAACACCATAAGAGCTGCTGCAAAAGTAGTAGTTGTAGATAGGTTATCCCCCCCTGATAATCGCATCAACATCTCTTTCATGTCGACATCGTTAGCGTAAAGATGTTTTAACGCCTTGGTTGTGTACTGCAGCTCGGATAAGAAAGCCGGCCTGGCCCCCCCGATATTCTCACCTTTCTTTTCCCCCCCCTTTTTGGCCTTCTTTCTTGGAGCAGTAGTGTCGTTTAGGTTTGCACCCCCCCCTCCAAGAACCTCATTCTCCTGTGGTTGTAGCTGCACATGTTTAATTGCCCCCCCCGATGTTGGTGTCGTATTTTCCCCCCCGAGTTTCTCTTTAAGACTATCCCCCCCGCCAGGCAAATTTTGCTGGTCCCCCCCCTGTTTTTGGTCAAGCGAAGCCCCCCCTAAGTTTTGCGATGTGAAAACCCCCCCCTTTAAAAAATCAGGCTTGACCCCCCCATCGTTTCCTGCCCTGGTCGGTGAAGGAGGCAAAGGCTCCAGTACTGCCCCCCCACCCGAGAACACACCCAAACCCCCCCCAAGAACGTCATTAATCGACAGTTTAGCAGGGATAGATTTAGATTTCTCCCCCCCTTGCTGGTTACTTTTTTGACTGCTTTCATTCTGATTTGATTTTGAGGAGAATTTCTTATTGATAACAAGTTTATTTGGTTGTATATCATGATCTTTCTTGCTGCTGTCTTCAGTGGKATACACATCAGGGAGCACCGACGTACCTTGGCTAGCATTTAAATCCATAGCCGAGTCTGAATCACCCATGTCTTCATTACAAAATAACTGTACCCCCCCTTGTAAATCAGAGTCGCACACCCCCCCATACACTCCTGGAATGTCGACCCCCCCTTTGCTAGAAACCTCTTCTACCCCCCCAAAGTCCTTAACATGCTCGACCCCCCCATTTCCAGGTAATTTATCTTCCCCCCCTTGTTCTACTTCGTTATCAGCCCCCCCTTTCGTCTTCTCTAAATCTTCCCCCCCTACTTCCCCAACGCCTTGTTCCCCCCCACTTCCAACAATCCGAGATACCCCCCCATCGTGTTCATTGCTTGTTGCCCCCCCTAAACTCTTTTCTCCTTCCTCCCCCCCAACCATATGAGCATCATCTGATTGTTCCACTGGGTTGGCGTTGTTTTCCCCCCCGTCTTCGCTCGTGATAATACCACTAGCAGCAACCTCACTATTTCTCGCTTCTTCCGCAAAGGAGGTAATTGAACTTATATCGTCACCAACGTTCTCTTGAACCCCCCCTCCCAGTTCTTYTTTCTTCCCCCCCCCATTAACCGAATAATCTTTTGCCCCCCCTTTCGTTTGTGAAGTTCTTTCCCCCCCATTGCTCACGCCCTCTTCAACCCCCCCTGCCTTTCGCATGCCTGAATTTGGTTTCTTGACTAAAGAGTTGCCAACCCCCCCTTTGAGAATTTTTGCTTTTTCCCCCCCTAAGAAGGAATCGCTCTTTCCCCCCCCTAGTTTTGTTTTTGGTCGATCCCCCCCGCGCTTTTTAGACTCATAATCCCCCCCATATAACTCAGCTGCCTTTGCCCCCCCGATTGTTTTCTTGGACTCTTCCCCCCCGCAAAGGAATGTCCCTGCTACCCCCCCTTCCGAAGATTCTCCTTTTGCCCCCCCAAGTCTTTCTGGAGATTTCACCCCCCCTCTATCCAAATATTCCTCATTTTTCATGCTTTCATTGACATTAGAGCCCCCCCCATTATCGTCATGACTAATCACCCCCCCTAATACAGTTTCTTCTGCGATTTCATTTGGTGAGAATTCTACAGTTTCCCCCCCTTCTTGTGACAGGTCCACTACCCCCCCTTCGTCACTTTCGTCTACTTCCCCCCCTCCACAAGAGCTACTGGAAGGAACATTTTTAATCATCTTTTTAGCTTCCCCCCCTGTGAAAGTCTTAGTATTCACCCCCCCCGGCTTTCTCATTTCAATGGCCCCCCCCTTTCTTTTCTGACTTGCATCCCCCCCACGGTCTTTGTTTAAAGAAACCCCCCCTTTTCCTTCTTCTTTCTCATCCCCCCCTTTACTTTTAGAAATGGATTCCCCCCCAGCTTGAGCTTTATTTACTTCCCCCCCTTGATGTGATTGTATTTCCTCATTGGTGATGTCTTGATCTTTCAACACCCCCCCAGCCTTATGCATAGATAATTCCCCCCCAACACTTGCTTCTCTATTACCCCCCCCGATATTGTCTTCCATGCAAACCCCCCCTTCTACTTCACGTTTAAGATCCCCCCCCGATTCATTATTTATTATTGAGATGTCATCTTGGCTTGTTGACTTGTCCCCCCCCGATTGGATATTTCGACTCTCATCTCTGACAGTATCATCCTCGTTGTCATTGTCTGCTGGTAGAAGCTTAGTTACCCCCCCATCATCATTACTGCCTTTACCCCCCCCAAGTTCAAAAGCTGCACATGCCCCCCCAACAGATTCCGTGATTTTTGCCCCCCCTTCTTTGTGGCTGTCTTCCTGCCGAGAGTTTGCTTCATCACCATTATCCCCCCCGATATCGTTTTTGCTGCTCTCTTCTTGTTGGACATTGCACTGAGATTCCCCCCCATCGCTAACAGTGTCATGTTCCCCCCCAGTATTTTCTTTGGATGAATCCCCCCCATTTTCTTCTTCGTTATTTACCCCCCCTTCATCATCGGATTGTAGATCCCCCCCACTGTCAAGGTCACTTAATGCCCCCCCAACATTTTCCAGGATTTTAGCCCCCCCGATCGTCATTTCCAGACGATTTTGACGGGTTTGAACATTAGTATTCGCCCCCCCAGTGTGTTTTTCAGTCAGTAGCTCACGTGCACTTTCATCGTCACTTAACGACCCTACCACATTGCCCAAGATTTCCCCCCCATCTTTCTCCTTTTCCTGGCCCCCCCCACGGGATTGAATGTTAGTGTCCCCCCCTTTGAYTGTGTTGTCAATCGCCCCCCCAAGTTCATTTTCCGAATCGTCCCCCCCTGACSCTACCAMATTGCCCRCCCCCCCAGATTCATCTTTCTCCTTTTCCCCCCCATCTTGACGGGATTGAATGTCCCCCCCTTTAGTTTTGAYTGTGTTGTCCCCCCCAAGCTCAAGTTCATTTTCCGCCCCCCCACTTAATGACCCTACCACATCCCCCCCGATTTCAGATTCATCTTTCTCCCCCCCCTGGCCATATTGACGGGATTCCCCCCCCGTGTTTTTGGTTTTGACTGCCCCCCCAATCGAAAGCTCAAGTTCACCCCCCCCGTCACTTAATGACCCTAACACCCCCCCCGAGATTTCAGATTCATCTTCCCCCCCTCCCTGGCCATCTTGAAGAGCCCCCCCGATTTCAGATTCATCTTTCTCCTTTCCCTGGCCATCTTGAAGAGATTGATTGTTAGTGTTTTTGGTTTTGTTCGTCTTGTTAATCTTTAGCTCAACTTCCCCCCCTTTGTCGTCATTTAATGATTCCCCCCCATATGCCTGAGTTGTAGTAGCCCCCCCAAAATCATTTTCCAGGCGATCCCCCCCAGTTTGACCATTAGAGCACACCCCCCCATCTAAGTTGTCGGTTGGTACCCCCCCAGCGTTTTCATGATCACTTACCCCCCCCCAGATGTTTTCTATGACTTCAGGTTTTTCATTTTCTATATCACTGACCCCCCCTCTATTGCCTTCGTTTTCATCCCCCCCTAAACCCAAAGTCTTTTCTTCCCCCCCATTACCTTTAACTTCATTTTCCCCCCCATTATTTAGCAACTCATCATCCCCCCCAAAAATGGTGTCATTTTCATCCCCCCCTTTTTCTAACTCCGTCTCAAGCGCATCTCCAAGGTCACTTAATGAGTCCCCCCCATCACTATCRCTAGATTGGTCCCCCCCGCTCGAATCACTGTCACTTGAACTGCTGTCTTCAAGATTAACAGGCAGAGGTGACAGTGGTGGAGCGTCAAGTCCCCCCCCTTCGTCGAAGATAGAAGCTACCTGAAGCTTCGGCGGTGAGTTCTTTTTCTTTGCAGAAGGCTTGACAGATGTCTKGACGCGTTTACCACTAAGATAAGAACAAATCAGTTAATGTATGGTTAAAACATAGCTTACCATTGTATATAATATGCTCGAGTTGAGTATTATTGAGTCAAACAAAACACAGAATATAATCTGAGGGAGACCTACCCCCCCGGTTAAAAATCCGCGTGCATCCCAGAGTCCTTGCGCGCTATTCTCACGTTCGAAGAATCGCTATTTTGGAGAATCCCCCCCCGATCACAGARTTATMGCTTCCCCCCCGGATACACTTGTWGATTTTGCCCCCCCCAGATGCCAACTTTCTTTCACCCCCCCTAACAAATGCTCGCAAAGWTCCCCCCCTGCAGACTCTTTAACAAGAGTAGTTCATGTACCTTCGAAGTAGTTTAGTGTCTGTTTCATCAGGGCTTTCTGGACCCCCCCGTAAAAATACAAATTAAAGYCCCCCCCATACTTTTGCAATRACATACCCCCCCCTACCCGATATTSTCTTGGAGCCCCCCCAAGAAAAAGAGTTACTAAGCCCCCCCCAAAAATGTGAGAAAAAACGTCCCCCCCATGTTTTAAAACTTAATTATGACTTTAATTGTGATATAAATCCACTGCGCATTTACACTTGTGTAAGTTATAAACCCCCCCAAACTYACCATCTGGATTTCCCCCCCCTTTGTTGTTCTTTTTCTGTGTTTTCAAAGTTTTGAGCTGTTGCTGCACCCCCCCRATTATTACTCCATGGTGATCCCCCCCTTTGCAATGACAAAACATYACCCCCCCTACTTACCTTCATTATGTTACCCCCCCCTTGTAGTTCTTCTCTCTTTCCCCCCCGAACACTCAGTTCACGAGCCCCCCCCCTTAAAACAACTGATAAATATCCCCCCCCTGATTAGCAATGATTCAGACCCCCCCCTTGCATCACACAACTACACCCCCCCCCTCCTGAGAAAACTCTTTTTTCCTCTTTGGGATTCCTTTGTAAAGGTCATATTAACAAAAGCACAGGAAGCCCGCCCCCCCTATTGATGCTTGTGGAGCAGCCCCCCCCATACACGTACCTTTGTCCTCCCCCCCTTCATCTTTTAATTTACTGACCCCCCCCTTGAGTTTTGTATATCTGTCCCCCCCAATTCATACTTGTCATGTTACCCCCCCTACAACTTTATTAACTTTATCCCCCCCAGCAATTATTCAGGATAAACCCCCCCCTATGAAATGGTGAATGATTTCCCCCCCAGGCTCTTGACAGTATAACACTGTACACTTTATGTAAACACTTTCCTGCAACACACCTCAATCTATGGCTTCGTATGAACCTTCATATTATACCCAACCTCCAGTTATAATATTGTGTAATAAATCCACACCTTTCTTTTTCTTTTTCCAATTTCTTRTCATATTCTTGTTGATCTTTTTTCCTTTCCAATTCCATATCATCTTTGCCTTGCAGTGCACTTTCAAGACAACTGATTCCCCCCCAAAAAAAACAGAAGCAGCTACCCCCCCCTTACATTGTATTTACTGGTCCCCCCCGATATAACTGGCAGTCCAGTCCCCCCCGCTGGGTTGTGGCATAACAGCCCCCCCAGTAGTTACTGGTTGGTTATCCCCCCCCAGGCAGTCCA